GTTGTTGGAACCAAAATGGAAGAAACGTGGACAGAGAAACCCGTTTCCATATTTTCTGTCGGTAGAAATAGTTTCACTTTATAATAATTTAAAATGAAAAAGATTATCGTCACGTGATGCATTTCTCTTGCCTTTCCCCTGAGAAAGGTGCGATATAAAACATGCAATAACTACTACCGACTTGAACTGTATTTACTTTCGGAATAACTTTGAAACTTTCAGTGACGACCCTCTGTCTCCACTCACTCACACTCTCTTTCAGCGAGCGCCCTTTTCCCGTCTGCTTTCCACCCTCTTTAGCAACTTAGCCTTCGAAACCACGGTTACATGGCAATGTAACGAAGACGATGAAATAAGAGTGATAAGGAGAAAAAGGGACAGGAGAGGTCGAGAGAAAGGGAAAGAGAAGCTCTATGCGTTGACTATGCGACTATGCGTTATAACGACGCACTTTGACTCCGCTTGCAGCCGTCGACAAACGACAGCAACTTCTGAATATTTTTAAGAGGATGTTTACGAGCGCTCTCTAAGGCAGCGACGATGGCCGTAAGACGATGAAAAGGGTTCGTCGACGCGATAATACCAAACATAATAGCGCTTTTTCCGCTAGAATTTACAGCCATGCCTCTACGTGCGCTTTTACATTAGCTCTCGTAGCTTGCCAGCCCGTCTGCTGATTAATAAGACAGATAAGTATAAATATTCATGATCCAGTTTCCGCGGAAATAGTGCAAAAGATTTTTCAGTTGCTACATATTCCCGCAAATTAAAATATTCCACTGGAAGAAGAAATGTGAATAATGGATTTATTTTGGTCAGTTACACTGAGAGAAAAAATGGTTACAATTACCATAATGTAACTATAATTTATAATCATTTTCGGTTTTATATTTTTTGGTAGAATTATAAATATAATTATTATTACTACACGGAAAGAACGTTTTGCTATTTAAAAATTTAGCGAGATACTGAAAATAAAGTTTGTTGGACTATCAAAATAATCACTTAAATTGATTGCTAAATTATTTTTAGCAGTATTATTCATTATACTTGAGTTTTCTATACAATTATTTTAATGGTTTAACAAAATTATTCTTTCAATGTAATAATAATTATATTTACAATATAATTCTAAAATGTAATTTTGTGTTAAAAATATTATTTTGTTCAACTATCAAAGTAATCGTGCAGAATGCTCAAAGTTAACTGCTTGAATGTCAAACTCATTGTTCATCATGCTTGAGTTTCCTACATAATTATAATATTTTGATGATCCAACAAAATAGATTTCAAATCTGTATCTATATATAGCTAAATTTTTAGATGCTTCAACAAAATCATTCTTCGCGCGCGCGCGAACTATAAAAATAATAACTATAAAAATAGAGCTCTCTATAATTATTTTACTTTTTTTTTCAACGTAATCAAAGTGATTTCATTTTGATAAAATTGATCTATGAATAATCTTGAATTATAATAGGAATTCGACACGACGTTTTAGATGTGACGAACGAGAAGTTAAATATTATGAATTAAAATTCACATAAACAGAGAACGCTTTTGGCGACCGCAAAATATGTATTTTCGCTACGGAATCATAAATTCCAATGAAGACAAAATAACGCAAATGAATACGCGGCTGCACGGTCCGAAGAGGTCAGCATTTTGAATAATCCCAATGCGGCATCATCCTTCCTGGAAACCTTTAACAGGTGCTCGATCTCTCGACGAATGGATCGTAAAGGCGTGTCTGGAGGCAACGGGGTTGACGACTGTAATTCAAACGGATTATACCCTGGGGTGTCTGAGGGATGAGATCCAAATGAGTTGGCACCTCGTGATACCGCCGGTACTTTTGCGATCTCGGACCCAAACGAACGAACGAAAAGTCGGTCCGACGTTTTAACATGAAACGTCGGAAACTTTCGAATTGTATAAATTCGTAACGTTAATACGTAAGACTCTATAAATGCGTTAATGTGTTATTCTAAATTTCAACGTTGGCGAATGATTTATTATAATAGTGGAATAATAAGATCGTTTGAATAAAGTTCAAATGTCATTAGAAGTATTTTTAATTGAACAAATATACTACATTATTTTATTCGATAACTTTCCGTCATCTATCAATAAGCTTTATTATCTTTCTTTCTCATAAAGTCGATATCAGTGATTAGTCGATGAAAGCGTGAAGTATTTTCGAGATTTATTTCTCCTGAATTGGCAAATCATTTCTGGCACAAAATGGGGGTTGGGCTACGACATCTTTTTCGTATACAGTACATATCTTTTTTTTTAATTTGTTTTTACGAAAAGAAAAAAGCATACTGAAGAATTACATTATTCCTTTTCATTTTCATACTATTGCAAAAATTGTTAATTTATGCGTTGATATTATCTTTTAGAACATATATTACAATTTCATGTGTTTGTAGTAATTACTAATTAGTAATTAAAAAAATATTTGAACATCTATTGGGAAAAATCTTATAGTCCTAGTCAATAAATGTAGATTAATAATAAACTGATCGCAATTTTTATAATCTGCGCAATTATGCGACAATCGTTGCAATTATGCGTCACTTACTACGTTTGGCCTTGTGACAGCATAAATGGCGCGTACAGTCGCGACAATTGCTTTGTGGAATGCGAAAAGGTCAGAGGGAATTATACAGTGACTGAACGGAATCAAAAGTTTCTTGGAAAAAGACGAGGGAATCACAACTTACAACGTAAAAATTTCGTGAGGTATAAGCGTCACATTGGAAAATCGTTGGGAAAAAAGTTTCGGAACCCCGTTCGAGCGAGGTCGAAAAAGTTTATTCGCAACACGCGATTCCAGTGACTTTATTTTCACGAATTGCTTGTGATTCATTGGAAAGGTAAATTACGTACAAACATGAATTCGCGATATTAAAAGAGCGAAATTTGCATGTAGAACAGTTAATTTTCCTTCTGTTTTTTTAAAATAAAGAATTCCATATAATCAGTCGTAATTAATTGTAATTAAGAAGAACAAAAATATGTTGCATTTTTTTTCTTTTGACAGACTTAAATTACTTATGGACTACACAAGGAGGACAGAAGATGCTTGCCAATCCTTTCTAAATTTTAACAAGGAGAACCAATTAAATTATGAAAATTATTTTTACGACAAGTTAAACGATCATCATTGATCAATGCGTAGCTCATGCGTTCTCAATAAAAAAATTCGCTGAAGAAAAATCTTCAAACTGTACAAAAAGAACAGTTTTGCTGAAGAATATAAAAATTTAAGCACAAATCTGAAAATAATTTTGTTGGACTATCAAAATAATTAGGTAAAAAAGTTTTGACATTCCAATAACTAGTTCGAGCATACTACATTTATTTCAATTTCAAATAAAGTTATTTTCAAATTTGTATTTAATTAAATTTTTATATACTTCAACAAAACTTTTTTTCTTGGAGGAGGATTTTCAACTCCTCCACAAATCCTCCCCTCTGCATACACCCATAATCAATACAGCCGAATAATTAGTGCGGTTGTTTATCACTTTAACCACTACGAGGAAATTGCTAACCTGTAATTACGCTACGCGTCAATTTAGCGCGACTGCCAGTCAGTAGTCCTGATCTAATGACAAAAGACAGGAATTCCGCGCTATCAAACGGAAGGAGAAATTTGGTTGACATGAAGGATTCTGTGTGTTGCGAGAGAGAGAGAGAGAGAGAGAGAGAGAGAGAGAGAGAGAGAGGGAGGAAGAGAGAGGGAGAACGAATGAATCGAGCTTGCTAATTCCCCACGTCCGTCGGGTGGACTGCATAATATGACGCGAAGTCGAGCAGTAGCTATTCCCTGCACTGATTTAGCGCAATGCCCTTTATCCGCGATCATTGTAGCTAGAAGTGAAACCACAAGGACGGACTCTTGTCGCGCGATCGATACGATCTCAGGATGGGACGTCGTCGTTGGAGCTTGTTTATTGCCCAACTGCCACGGAAATTACGAAGCTACAATTACAAATTAGTGTACAGTTGATTTGCCAAACAAGTAGTAACATGCTGACGGCGTAAGCCGCAACTGCAGACCGGATTTAACTAGATAGACTTTGGTTTGGTTGTACCGTATAGGATTTAATGCAGCTGATTTCGCAGTATTTTCCACTGGACATTAGAGGTATAAACGCAAAAAGTAAATTTATAAGTAAATTAAATATATTTTTAGGACATCGCAATTAATTTGAACAAAATAACAATAAAATCGAAAAATAACTTTTGAATTACGTCAATAATTTTTAATATAGTTGGAAAAATTATTATATTTCTCTATTTCTCTATTACTTTTAATAAATATTTTATAGATATATATTTTTGTGTTGAAAATGAGATGTTCACTGAGATTTTCACGAAATGTTACACTGTAAAAAAAATATGAAAATTATAAATAATAAAATTATATAAATAATAAATATATAAAAATATATAAAAATATATAAA